CCTTCACATAAGACCATACATGTAACCCTGTACAGTACGTTAATGATTCGAACCCCTGAGCGGGGGGTTTCCTAATGTGGCAGACGGCCGCTCCTTCCTGGGTCTTATCTTAAAGTGTCACCGTAACTGAATCATGTTGTTCACAAAGACAGAGAAACAGGCTGAAGTGAAGCAACGGACGACATGAAAAAAACGGAGAAGTGGAGCAGTGAAACAAACACCTCTTTGTTCCAGGAACAACCAAGAGACAGGTTTCAAAAGAGCTCATTGAGATTGCCAATAAAAAAACAAGATACTGTAACTTACTCCCAACTGAAACGAACATTTCCAACGTCGAAGCCGTAATCACTGTGGTCGTGGAGATACTCGGCGTGAACCGCTGCATTCCACATCACCTGTGAGGAGAGGTAAAGGTACTATACCATGTACTTCATCTTGGACTCAGTGCTAAACAGATAAATGTACTGGAAATGATCTGTGTATGTTTATTGAGTGGTGACAAATGATTATGTCCCTCAGTTTAACTATGATAATTACAATGGAAAGGACAGCGTACCTTTTTTGGGACACAGCCAACATTTACCTGAAACACATTGAAACAGAGCAAATTACTTCAGTGTATGTTTGATCAAATTACATAGAAGAAAAGAAGGGGAGGTCTTAATCATGAGCAGTGGTGTTAAATTAAAAACTGGGACAAAAACTAAGAAATTTGAGACGGCAGCCACAGATCTGCTCAATGATAAACCAGCTCCGGTAACTGAGAGGACAGTGATGATGGATGAGAACCTGGCGGTATCACTTCCTCATTTCTCTCCGAGGTGAGCTATCTGATCGCAGAGTTAAGCTTTTTAATCCTGACTGTATCCCTTAGCCTGAGACATAAAGTACAACCCAGAGTCAGTGCATCGTTACACAAACAACCACAACTTCTTTCTTTGAGGATTAAATACAACGTTTCAATAACTGTATGCTGAACTAAATGCAAAATAATAAAATAGATCGCAATGATGAACTGTGCTCCACAGTGTCTTTTACAACTGAAAACAAAACCTTCAATTCATTCTTTATTTTAGCTCTTGACTGCAAATGGCTTTATTTAATTGAATATTGTCATATCTGAATTTTAACACAATATGACCATGCACATCTAGTAGTCAAAAAACTATAACAATGACAATAATGATAACAAGAACTTTATAAACATGTTTTTATTGTCAGACAGACAGGGCAGGTTACATACATTAATGCATAAATTTAATTAATTAATTTTAAAAGTATTTGCCAGTGCTGAAATATGTTACACGAGCTCACTTCCTTATGAACTGTGAAATTAATGTGATGAAACAGCCTGAACTTTGTGCAATAAAGATGTGGTTTAACACACATCTGGAGCAACATCATCTTTTCATCTGCAAAATCATCTGAAAAGGTTTTTAATAGTAAATCATGAACCTCAATGCAAACCAAAACAATGCAATAATAAAAACTGAAGCTGGGACAAAATCCTCCTTCAACACTTCATCTGTCTAATGCAACTTTTTATAAAGTAACTTTGTTTTCAATGATAAGGAACAGGGTTGGATTTAAATGTTGAACTTTGTGCTGATTTAAACACTGGCTGTAATCACTGCTTTGGATCAAACTTGTTACACACCCCCGGTGTTTGTTGTGGGCGACAGAACAAGATCCAGAACAGGAGTCTGGAGGCTTCGCACTGAAGCCCGGCATCGAACATGTGTGATGGTGCAGAGGTGACAGTGGAGGTGCTGTGGTCCGGCTGTGTGTTTAATTTAAAGTTTTTACTCACGCAGGTACCTCCGAGTTTGTGACTCTCGATCACGGCGGTGTTCGCTCCGAGCTCCGACGCCCTCCGAGCCCCGGCCAGACCCCCGGAGCCGCCGCCGATCACCAGGAAGTCGAAGCGGGTCGTGTTCGAGTCCGCTGCCGTCGGGTGTGAGGCCATGCTGCGGCGAAGCTCCGCGACTGTGTGTCTGCGAAAAGACCGAGAGAGCGGCTCAATCCAGCGGGGAGGCTGCGTCCTGGAGAGCCGGAGTAAAACTGCCATAACCAGGAAGTTCACAGGATATGTGTGTGTGTGTGTGTGTGTGTGTGTGTGTGTGTGTGTGTGTGTGTGTGTGTGTGTGTGTATCTCTCTCTGTGTGTGTGTGTGTGTGTGTGTGTGTGTGTGTGTGTGTGAGAATGGGAGGGTCAAGTGAAAGCCAATGCTGCGTCATTGTGAATTGCAACAATAGTGTGTAAATCCCAGAAACAGTTTTCACAATAGTCATGGTGATCCTGACTCCAGCTGCAGAGGAGAGGCCACAATAACAGCGGGAAATCAATTCCTATCATAAACTATTATACTGGCAAATTAAAACAATATAGATATAAATATACACATCTCTATATTCCCACGATATATTATACTACTGGCAAATTATACATGTGTCCTTATGTATATATATATACACAAACAAACATCCCTGTGTTCATAACATATTGTCTACCTTATCTTATGTTTTCCTATGATCGTATCTTACGCCAGAGCACTAATTGAATAAAGCACCAGGCAATGAATGAATGAATGAATGAATGTAAAGAGCCTGCAGCCTGAGGCAGACTGCTCCCCCTCCTCCCCCTCCTCCTCCTCCTCCTCCTCCTCCTCAGTGTGAATGATGGAGCCAGTGTGTCTCTCACCTCTGTGACACAGGAGCAAACAGTCTGCAGATCCTCACCAACACCATGTTTCTATCTCTTCAGGACATGTTGCATCCCAACGTCCCCACAGAGTCCAGGGGTTCGTCCGCCTGTCCGCTCGCTGTCAGCTGATCAGAAGCCTGAGCTGCAGATCACTTCCTGTGTCACGGCGTCACAGACACGTGTGCCACAGCTGATCGGAGTTAACTAACTTCCTGTCTGCGTCTAAAAAAAACCCGTAAATCTTCCTTTTCACAACTTAGAGAGAATCGTGTGTTTACAACGAGAGTTGTCACGTATGAGAGCGCAAGGACGTGAAATTGGTTTCTGGCGTAAACAATCCCAAGTAGGAAGCCAAGACACGTTACGTCTGCGTTGTTTTGATTCGAGAATAGCACATACGCTGCGCCCTTTTCTTCTTCTACTTCCGTTTAATGGTCGTTGCAAACAACTTTTTGGACGCATTACCGCCACCCTTTGGATAGAGGTGTGATCAGAACTCGTTTTTTTTCTCAATCAATCAATTAAATTCTATTTGTATAGGCCATATTCACAAATCACATTTGTCTCATGGATCTCAACAAGGTGTGAAATACTTCTTAGCACTCAACAAGAGTCAGGAAAAACAAAAACAACTTTTGACAGGGGAAAAAAGGTAGAAATCTCAGACACAGAGGATCCCTGTTTAAAGTATTTGTACATAAGAAAATGTCTGATAGAGATGAAGGGAGCAGCAATGACAAATGAACTGAGGAGTTATTGTCCTCTAACATTACTAGTTACAGTTTTATGGTACATTTATAGTTGCATGTTAGATGAATAACTCAGACCTCTGAGGTCTAAACTTACCCTTCAATAAATCTTTGAACTTTGTTGGAATTCTATCAAATTACCTGAAAGCAATTAGAAACTTTTACATTTGTTCTCACTCTGCCTCAGACTAGTTTTCAGCACAGAATGGAATGTGTTTTTAGGGCATCCCTGTGATATCTCCATTTGGGTTCTTGAGGCATCATTGCATGCTGACCCCCGTGGACTCGTTCCTAACCCTATTTACATGTCAGTCATTTACCTACTTTGTCAGTTTGAAAGCAATTTGCTTGGGAGAACACCTCCCCTTGTTTTAGTTTTCCGTATACAAAACGAGGGTTTTATGGTTTAAAGACTGGCTGGAGGTCAACCTGTAGGTGATAAGCCTTGATCCTGGTTCAGTGATGACTGAGGTCAGTTCAGGAATGTCTACTACAGCCCAGTAATGAAATGTATCGCGAGGGATGTTTTTTATTCAGTGCAGTGTTTATTTAGGTCTGTTATGTCCTAGTCTCTTCTTACCCACACAATGTGTTTGTCTGTCTGTTATAAGGATCACACAAAAAGTACAAGACAGATTACCACGGAACTTGGTGGAAAGGTTTATAATGGGTCAGGGAAGAATCCATTAAATTATGGTGCAGATATGGATCAGAAGTGCGGATCCGGGAATTTTGTTAGACTCTCTTTGACGTTTAATAAGTTTAACAAATGTTTTCCTAATCTAGACACGCACACGTAAATGAATGTCCTCAGTCTGTGGAACCAGGCGTGACCTGATGGTTGTAAATTCTCTAACAGCAACTATTGTCATACATGGGTAAATATTGTGTCAGATTTTAAAATTAATTTCTTCCCTAATCGTATCTTATCTTGACTTACTGACTTCCTGTAAATCTCAGCCCTGCAACAGTTAGTGTCAGACACTTTGCTTTATTTTTACACTCAATAGAATAAAACACATGAGTCTTGTCGTGTTGAACTGTGTAGTTATGAGTATTATTGGTTCTATTGTAGGAGACAGACGTTCATGGTTCCTCTCTGCTCCATTCACTGTTGCTGTGACTGACTGCCCCCCCCCATAGTTCTCTTTTTTCTGACCTTTGACCTCGCAGATGCTTCCTGTTGCGTCTGTTTGTTTTGCCTCAGAGTCAGAACCATCACATCAGACATTACAAATCGAAAAAAAAAAAAAAATCTCTCTCGTCTTCCGGAAAACCTTCGGGCACTTCCACAGCTGTCCAGAAAAATAAAACAAAAAACAACAACTTCCGGTCACTTTCTTTTCTCAAAACAACCCGCTCTCATAATAAAATACACCCAAACATTGTTTACAAGCACAAAACACCACAATGATGTAAATAAACCCCACGTTGCTGCTATATTGAGCGAATAAAGCGAATTGTAGGCTTTTTATATTTAATCGCTCGCTCTTACTTTGAAGGCAGGAGCGGCTGGTTTCCGGAATAGCTGTCGCTAGCTAGCACAAATCGCTAACGCCTAGCTGACATCAGAGCGGCTCGGTTAGCGGTGTTGACAAGCGGCAGCATCGCGTCCGAAGAAGAAATTTAAAACCAGCTGCTGACTTTAAATCATTTCCCGGAGAAGCACAGCGGCCTCACACGAGCCCCCCGCCCGGTACGTGCGTGTTTTTTTGACTCAGTTATAAACATAAACAGCAGAGAAGCCAGGCCGTCGTCTCTGCGACCCCCCCTTCCCTCCTCCTCCCACCCCCAGTAGATGTGGTCAGGTACGGCCTTCCCCATGAAAACAACAGGGGGGGTTGTGAAGACAGACGTTAACACGGAGGTGTTAGTTAGCTGCTTTGTGTTGGTATGTTAAACACACTGAGGTCCAGAGAAAGCTGCTGCAGGAGCTGTGTGTGTGTGTGAGTAAGTGAGGGGGAGGGGTTGATGGGCCTCCTCTGTTATGTCAGCACGGTGCTCTCCTCTCTGATCCTCAATCAAGTGTTTTGTTTCTCTCTCGTTTGCTTCCTTCAGGGCACAGCCGTCTGGTTCGTCACTCTTCCCTCTGATGAACGAACCCCCCGGACGTCAGGTGGAAGATGGACGTGTCTTCCACTGTGTAGCTTCATCCTGTGAATCAGGGGTAGGATCCGTCGCTGCCACATGACCAGCTCATACCCGGTGCTCGACATGAAGCCCGTCAGCTATCAGAGCTTGCCGTCATCAGTGAGCGGGGGACACCAGGATCTGGCCCTGGATCGCGTGTTGAGCGCCCCCAAGGTGATGTATTGCGAGAAGTGCGGGTTCGCCTCCATGGACGTCGCCGTGTTCAAGAAGCACATGGTCGAGCACATGACAACAAGGTTTTACTGCTTCTACTGCAACGACGTCTCCTTCAGCGAGGCAGAGTTAAAAGTGCACCTGAAGCAGCACACGTCAAAGTATCCGTTCACGTGTCCTCACTGCGGACAGGGCTACATGCGGAGGCTGTGTCTTGTGAAGCACATTGAGCGTCTTCACAGTAAAAGCATCAGTCAAGGACCAGCAAAGCCCGGCATGACTTTAATTTCTCCCGTGCCTGTCTCCAGTGCCTTATCAAGCGTGTCCTCTGCTGATCCATCACCACCTAGGCCAACTGTTAAGGTGACAGTACCTGCCCTGAGTGCACCTGTTATCAGACTGGATAGAGATGAACAGAGAGGGAAAACACTGGACACTATTATATCGAATGCCGCTAATGGAAATACAGAACTTTTGTCTCCTTTGAATGGACTCATACAGCACAACAGGGCTCTAACTGTTTCTCTTCCGGAGGAGGTAACAATCCCTGCAGGCTGCTTGGTCGAACTTGTTGAGGTAAAAACTGTTAATGGGACAAAAGAGCTAAAACTGAGGCTCGTCTCTCAACAAGAAAACGAGTCTGTGATCAAAGATACAAGAACCACAGTTTGTCAGAGCACCACACTGGGAAAGCCTTTAACATCCACATTGAATCATCAGTCTCCCACAATGAAGACGGCAAGCATGGGGATGTGCACAGTAAACAGGAAGCAGTGTGAAACAAAGACGGTGAATGTGGAGCGTCCTGCTGTTGTCCCTGTCAGTATTTCCAAAAACCTCCTGAATCAATCGAGCAAAGAAAAGAGTGGATTCAAAAGAAAGTCACAAGAAATAATCAACCTGGAGTGTAACACAGTCATTCCAAATAAGATTCCCAAAACTATCCTCAGTCCTGTTAGAGAAGGGAATAGTGGGATGAGAGTTGCACAAAGAGAACCTCTAAATGCAGCTTCTCCCACGGTTATCTTGCCACGGCTTACCAACAGGTTGACTAGCACCCTGCATCCAGACAGCAAGGCGACAAGTGTTTCCCAGAGAGCAGCGGAGGAGAGGATGAATTTAATTCCAGAGCCTTCTAAGAGCATCCCAGCCCAGAGAGCAAGTGACACTAAAAGCCTCCCTCGAAATGGGTCGGTGGCTGTGAAGCTGGAACCAGGAGAGATCCACCTCAGGAACAACACTGCCACGAAGATAAAGAAAGAGGGGGTGGGCTTGAACCAGCAACATGTGACATCGGGGAGCGTTCCTTTGCCCGCAGCGTCCAAAGTGAAACCTCCAGCAATTTTATCATGTAAGGATAATGTTGTCCCAAATCAGTCTTTTCCAGCACACAGGACTCTAACTGAGCGCTCACAGGTCAAAACCTCTGTGCTTTCTAATCATACAAAGTCTAAGATCTCAGCTTGGACCCAGGAAGTGAGATCCCGTGAGAGAGCAGGAGAAGGAGAAGTGCCAGAACCTGAGAGCTTTCCAATAATTTCCTCTGTGTTTTCGTTAAGTCAACAACCAGGGGAGGTACAGGGCTCCATTCAGCCGCTGGTGATGGCTCTGCGTGGCATTGTGATGGATAAAAGCAACAGTTCTGGCAGTTCACATCCTCAAGGTCGCATCAAGATAATAAACGGATCAGAGCAGGTGAGGGAAGCGCCGACGTTGGGGTTCCGTGCTCAGGTGGATGTAAAGGATGGACCTGTCATCCTTGACCCTTTACCTACGGAGCGGTGTATTGACTCTGTGAAAGTAGAGGGGCATAAAGGCGTTCAGCATCCCCCGGCACTGACCAACCTCCACATTGAAGTCAAGGAGGAAAAGAATATTCCTACTCCTACAGACACGCTTACTTCAAAATCCGTGACGGATCAGGGATCTGTTTCTGAAATTCCAACATATGTAGACGCATCCGTGGGTACAAAAACTCTGCAGCAGGTGGACAAGACCGAGCATGACATCTCGAAGTTCCTCACTGTCTCTCTGAGGAGGGTACAAGTAGGAGTGTGGAAGAAAAACAGGAAAGGACTGAAACTAAGAATATCCAAATATAAGACTCATCTACCTGTAAGCAGTGTTGCTGACTGTGCAGTTATTTACCCGATGCCGCTGAAGGAGGACCAACTGGTGAAGAGACCGGGCCCCAACCAGCCCGTGGTGGTGCTCAACCACCCGAAGCCCCGGGCCCCCGTTCAGGGACTGAGGGCGGACACTATCGCCAACACAGGAGCTTCTGAGGTGGTTCCGAAATGCCAAATCTTAAAAATGAGGCTGAGCAAAGTGGTGGGGCAGAAATACGAGGTGATGGGGTGCACTGTCCGAGTCTTTCCATGAGTTTAGCTGACAAAGTTTCAAGAAGTGTACATTTATAAAGAAAAGACTAGTATTACGATGGGAAAACACTGATTTAAATTCATGATGTTATATGTTTGTCTGTATAGGCATGGGATATGGATTGTTGAAGTGCAATGCAGCTGTGACAGCTTTGGGGTGTTGGGACCATCTGCTGTAGTAGATTCAGTCAGTAATACACAGATGTTAAGAACTGTCTAAGACGGTTGAGAAAACAGTAGATCTGCCAGAGTCGAGGCATAAGCGCATGCTGTTTATTTAAAATATCTTAATTTATTTTTTTAGTTGGGTAGGTAATGTCTCGTGGTTCTTGCGGCCCCTTTAAGATGCGACTTGAAGTAGTGGTACATGCAGCACACCTTAGACGAGTCTTTCAGAAAATAGTGCCATATACAGTATAATCAAAGCCATGAGTTTTGACATTTTTAATGATGAAAAAAAAATCAGTGGGTGACAAAAGGGATTATCAAGTCTTTGTGAAATCATGTGGGGCAAAGTAATACGCAGCTAACAAAATTATACATCGATTAAGGTTTTATTCAAGTATTAATTCCTCTTTTTCTGTTTTTAGTTTTCACATTAACCGAGCAGTACAAAAGGAAAACAGAATCCCTTTACTGTCGTCGTGAATCAACACTACATATACAAACAGAGCACTTCACAGGCCTGTAAAATGGCCCCATTTCTGCAATTGCGTCAGTAGCATTCAAATATTCCACATTTCTGTACTAATAATTTTGTAACTGGTCAGCAACTGGGTCACTACATTTCATTCAAAGTTGCCTAAAAAATGTGGTTGTCCTTGAAATGGCGGTCAGTGTTTTTTAATGTGCAGCTCTCTGCATATTTGTATACATGCCGGGCTGGTTTCTTGTTTGGTGGTGGGTTCAGGCACTCTTTGCAAACTTGTATTTGGCAAGTGCAACATGAGCATGTCATATTTTTCAAACAGCCATCAAGTCCATTTCATGCAAAGTGCCCTGTTTTCCAGTACTTTGCTGATCATTCTTGATGACAAAACTGAATGTTTTTGACTTTCTCAGAGCCAGAGTCCTTGAATGCACCGTTTCTGTGAGGCCGTAGCCTAAAAGTCACTAATACACGTCCCATCAGCC